TCTTATTCAATTCAAAGTGCTGTTGCCACCATCTATGTCTCTACATTAGATTAATTCTAGAGAATGGGACGGAATAATACCTGAACATCACCAATAAGCGCGAATACACGAATCAGAAAATCAGTACATAGAAGCTTATAGTCAATAGATTTTTTTGAAATTTCTTGAAGGTTTTGGAGCGATTCATCTCTCATGGACTCTGTCAACGCCGATCTCACTTCCACCAACGATTTCACGTCTTTGGAAACTAAAACGGATTCCAGAATTTGAAGAGTTCCATCAACAAAACTGCACAAAATAAAATCCTAATTCCTACCAAATTAACCCAGCCACATACACTGATACACACACACACACACACACACTCATTGATCCCAGTATTTTGCAGCCCATTTTACAGGTAAAAAGCATACAACTTTTTAAATCTCCTTGCATTCTGCCCCTCCTACATAGATCTTTCAAAATTAACATTCACAACCAATAGCTTTATACTTCACACAATTGAAAGAAAGAGAAAATCTTCCAAATCTCTGTGTATAAGAAAAGTGCCTCACATTGATATTCTTCAGTAGTAAATGCAAAATAATATCAGAAACTGACTAGCACATAATTGAGCTCTTAGTAAACTCTTCGAGCAAATTCGTCAATAAGAGCAAGGACATCACTTGTAATTATATCAATGTATTTATTTATGAGGAAACCTAAACCTCTTATAAGATAAAAATCCAGCCTTATAGCTTCTTCAATAAGAGGTCTTTGCACCTTCACAGCAACAAACTGGCAGAGTACTTCAACTAAGCTTTGTACACTTGACCTAAACTGGCGGCAGCAATTGGAGAAGCAGATATTGATGAATAAACAGAATCAAGTGGAAGTTCCAACTCTCTCTCGATACATGTAAATGCTTCTTCATCTGGAAAAGTTGGCAAAGCATCCCTCTCCATCACAATAACGGCGATGAAGATTCTATATCAAAAGAATTATTAAATAAGCTCATATAAGTCTTATTACCCACTGATATTAAACATTCATTGCTCAAACAAATTATGTCGGGTGCGAAAGACTGTGAGAAATTTGATCAATCTATATTCTATACATCACCTACCCATCGCTTTTGTCCCTTGTACTCACCCAAACATGCTAGCAAAAAACTCTATCCAGACACAGGTCAAAATTCTTTGATTCAAAGTAAACGGCACCTAGAATTGAAATGAAATCATAAACACGTTACATGTATAAATAAACGAAACACTACCTGCAATTCGAAGAGCTCCTCGAGGTATGAGGGTGGACACAAATTCGGCCTGGTGGACAAGCTCTGGCCGACTTTTACAAAAGTAGGTCCCAATCTCATGAAAACCTGCCTAAGTTCAACTGCCCGTAATCTTTGGTTCTGATCTAGCTACCCATTCAATTGGTCGAGCCACAGCTTAAAGGCAAAAGAACCAAGGCCGGATAATATTTCAATCACCCTCTACACTAGCTTGATTGGGCACGAGCCGTATTTGGCGGCCATTCCTCCTCTAACGTACAGAGGAACCATTCCTCCACACGAGGAGGCACACCGTAGGGAGGAACCATTCCTCCACACGCAGAGGCACACTAGCCTCCGTACGCGAAGGATCTGGTAAATAAAATTGCTCTTCCTCTTCCGGGGCTTGCTAAGTTTGTACTGTAGTTCTGGAACTGATAGATGATAAGGTTAAGGTTACATTCCTTGCGTGAACAACTGTAGTTCTGGTCGAACATAGTGAATCACACTTCTAATAAACCATGAATTGAGTAAGCCTCCATTCCTTGCGCGAACAACTGTAGTTTTGGTCGGAGATTAAAAAATTGCAAATAAAAGCCAAATCACAACTACATAATTGGGCAAAAAGCACAGATGTTGCAAACTAAGTCAAAATTTTGTAAAAAATGAGACACAAAAAAAGCTCTACACACAGATGAAGAGAAAAAAATGAGAGGTTTCGAAAATGAGATAACACTGCGCCACAAAGTTTGGTCAGGAATTTTACTGTGTCAGTTTTGGGAGACAACCAATAAATGCATAATTTGAATTTTAAATTTGAAAAAAAAAAAAAGAGGAAACACTGTTGCAGCATATTGGGAGCCAGATCCGTGCTGAACGTGCGTGCAAAGACGCCATGTTCGTCGCGAAATTATTATTATTATTATTTTCCTTTTTTAAGCTATGAATGAAT